TGATGGCCTTCTTGGCCCCTTCCGGCCCTGCTATTGTATGATTCTGGGAGAAGCAGGACTGCCAAACCAGAGAGTGAGGCCAAATGTTTCTAGGTGGTGAAAACCCAAAGCAGGAATGAAAACCCCCAGGAAGCCCCCTCCACACCAATGGGGAAACAAAGCAACAAAGAATCAGCAAATTGGTAGCCAGGCAACCAAAGTTCTCCCATTGCAGCTTTTACCATCACTTATAATAGCAGCAAGAGAAGGAAAAGATCTTCCAAGTCTTATCTTAATACCTCTGGATTCACTCATGGCTCCAGGGAATTGTTTCATCCATCCCTCCAGATCAGGCTTTCTGTCAGAGAAGTCCCAGACCCTCCATTTCAGCTCCAGAGGGAAAGCCGCTGGGATCTCACAGGGCTCCTCCTCACTTCTGCCAGAGAAAACAGAGGTAACCTCCACTCACCGAACCCAGGATTCCCTCTGGGAGCAAAGGAGGGCCAGCCAGGAACAAAAGGTGGGCCTCCTTTTGGGGGGGGGGGGGCAATGGCCCCCAGAGGACCCTCCAGCAGCCACACATGTGGGCGGGGCTTCAGCTGACTGGGGCAGACGGGGCATTTTGCTTGTGTTCAGTTATGCTTAGGATCAGGACTGCGTGTGCTTTGTGGGTTGTGGGAAGTTTGCCACTTTGGGGGTAATATTTGTATTGTGGGGTCTGCATATATGAGCTTAGTGTTGGGAGGTGTGCTTTGCTGGCAGAGAGGAGCCTTCCGCCGTGCATGAGGGAGAGGAAGGAGAAGGAGTGGTCCAAACTCGACAACCAGACCCTGTTTTTGTCTTGAGAGACACTGGTGATCTGCGTTCTCTGCTCAGGAGCCGCGAGCAGCCGGTCCTCCCAGTGCCGCCCAGACCCTTCCCTGCACCAGTGGAAACGAGGGGGACGCACTCACCTCTGCAAGGTGTTTCTCACATCCTGGAGGGGAAAGAGAGAAAGAGGAGGCGCTCAGTGGGTGTCACTCTGCACTCCTGAGATGTGCCTGCCCAGTCCTGTTCGGTGCCTCCACTTGAGGGCACAAAGAGAGGGACAGAAACCAGCTCCACCAGGAGGCACCAGGAGGAGCTTCATGACAAGGGACATGAATGGACTGGCAGATTCCACCACCGCCAAGAACCTCCAGCTGAGTGCCAAGACTGATGCTCATCCTGGAGGCTCCTGCCAGTAACGGTGCTGCTTGCCAGGCCAACGTGCGCGCTGCCCTCTGGAAACAGGCGCAACCCTGAAGCATGTTCAGGAAGGGAGGATGTGAGAGGATTCGGACTCAGGCCAGGCGCCTCCCACAGCCTCTTTGCTCCCGCAGCCTGTCCTTTGGAGGGCAGCCTTCTCCCGGCTTCCCCAGGCAGGAATCAACCACTCCTTTCCAGCAGCAGAACACTGGGGCGCTTGCCCACAGGAGCCACACTGAGAAGCTCCCTCTTGTGTGCAGAAGACAGATTTCGTCAGGCTTTGGGGGCATCAGTTGTGAGCGGAAACATGCAAGAGGAGTGAGGTTAAGGTCTGCCTGTCCTGGGGCTGCACCATATTTGAGATTCTGTTTAGCACAGGAATAGATCTGACCTGCCTTCTGGATTGGCAACACCACTAGGCCAGACTGCTTTGCAGTCGCTTCCCCAGGCCCACACCACCCTCTGCTTCGGCCTGGGTCTCATGAAGGGCCTCACCGCAGGGTGGCCCCGTCAAAGGGTCCGCACTGCCTGCCTCGGCCCTCCCTCCACACGCGCAGAGGCGAGCAGCGTCTGGCTGAGTCTCCTCCTTGGGGGATGTGGGGGCTCCTGCCCCCTCCTACCTGCAGGAGTTCAGCGGCCGGCTGCCGGCTCTTCTCCTCCACCTCCCGCATGATGCCTTCAAGGGAAGAGAGTTCCTTGGAAAGCCTGGCCAGGTGGTCCTCCGCTTTCCTGGCAATCTCCCCCTGCAGCTCGTCCACCTGAGCCAGGTGACGCTTCTCTTGCTCTTCCAGGAACTGATGCAGGCGCCTGAACTGAGCCACCGTCTCCTCCCGCTCTGCCATCATTTGCTCCTGGAAGAAGGAGAGTGTGGAACGGCGGGAATGGGCAGCCGGAGCCGGAAACGGGGTCAGTCTTGCGAGGGATGCTCAGGGACTCCCTCTCGGAATGGCCCCTCTTGCATAATTGCTAGAATAGGTTCAGCACTTTGAACAATGTCACGTGCTCTGCAGGGAAGGGCTGCCCTGGGCTCTCGATTCCCCGGCATTTTCTCTTCCATGTGACCCATCCTGGCTGAAGTGCCCCTTCCCTTCCACGTCACATTCTGGACACTTACCAGCAGCGCCTGCTTCTCCCTTTCTGCCTCTGCTTTACATGCCAAAATCCTTCCTCTCTCATTCCTCAGACTCTCCAGGCGACGCTGCAGCAGATCCTGGAGAGGGAGGAGCAGTTCACTTTCAGTTTAGAGAAGCAGAAAAAGGTATTGAAAGGGATGTTCATGATTGCTTCCCTTTCGCATCTTGGCGGGGTCAGGGGGAAGGGGGCTCTCAGGTGCCTTTTGATCCCAGGCAGATCCAGAAACGAGCTGCAACATGCGCTGGGCAGGCTCTGAGCCAAGATGAAGGGACGCTGCCATCCCAGAATGACGGGTCAAAACACCATTCAATTGACTGCCCTTCCTGAACTCTTTAGCTTTGAAAAGGAAAAGGTTTTTTCTGCTGTTTCCTCACGAGGGAAACCAGCAAGGGAGCATCCCGAAAGCTCAGGGAAGGCGGAGTGGAAGAGGCTTCCGGCCACCCCAGAAGTGACCAGTGCCGCTCTCATCCCCGGGCAGGAATGGCAGGCAGGGCAGCCCCTCTGCGGAGGAAGCAGCCCAGAAGGACACCGGCCCCAGCAAATGGGCATTCCTGCTTTTCCTGGGGGAATTCTTCCCTTCGTCCGGAATTGCACTGGGGTTGGGCATGGCCTGTGCAGGATCTCTGATAGAATCCTTCTCTCTCTGAAATGGACTGCTCCCCAATAAAGGAAAGATTGCAGCACCCGGAAACACACGCAGAGTGCAGCTGGTGCCTTCAGGAAGTGCAAGGACAAGAAACGGGAAGGGGAAAGAGGGAGCACCTGAAGCTCTGAATTCCTCACAAATATTCCTGGAGTCAAGGCCCTTAAGTGCTCCCAGCATCTTTGATCACCCCCTTCAGTGCCAGCCTCTCTTTGGTTCTGCACCCAGAGACCAGCACACGCCTGCACACACGCACACGCAGGCACACACACCAGCGAGCAGGGGCTGTGGGAGTGTGGCCCCTTGTTTTAATGCAATTCAGAACTTCATTTAGCAATATTGTTTATTAATGGTTGAAACTTTATGCCTTGTCCACAGTCAGTTGGGCTTTCGCGTAGCCTTTGGTTCGATACAAGAGGTTCGGGGACACGCAAAGGGCAGGCAGGAGGAGTCTTAAAGGGCCCTGCTCCGTATTGCAGCTCCAGTGCGAATCGTGGCAAACTCGGGGGGGGGTTGGAAGGAGGGCAGAGCAGAAGAGGGACTGATTCCCGGGACCACCTTTCACCTGGGAGTCTCTGAGGCCGCATTCCCCTCCCTGCTCTGGGGCCCCTCCATGCACCTCCATCATGTCCTGGCACACCGGCTCTTTCCTCCCCCCTCCTCAGAGCAGGCACAAACCGTGGGAACTTCCCCCCCAGGGCAGCTACGCCTCTCCCTGCATCATTTCAACGGCCTCCTTTGGCTCTGCCCAACCCAGACCTGGTTCAGGGAGCAGCTGGAGGAGAACAACCTAAACATCTCCCACCCCACAATCCTGGGGCTCCTGGGCTTCCCCCAGATCTCTTTTACACAAGAAAGAACACGCGTGTGAACAGCAATCCTGCCTGGCCCTTCCCAGGGACCTGGTTCCTGGGCAATCTGGAAAGGCAAGAAATCAGAGGATCACGGAGCATCATTCTCTTCCCATTGGCGGGTCTTCGCAGAGGCCACGCTCAGAGGGGCCCACAGGTATTTCTCCCACTGCCCCCTCACAGGAAGTACCCGGATCACCTACCTGGTACTCCTGGGACGCCTCCTCCAGGGGAACCACCTGGTGATCCTTGTGCTCCTTGGCTCTGTCGCACACCACGCAGATGGGAGCTTCGTGGTCCCTGCAGAAAAGCTTCAGGGGCTCCTGGTGCTTCTCGCAGGCTCGCCCCTTCCCTTCGGCCCCTTCGGCCCCTCGCCCCCCCTGCCCTGATAATACCCTAGCGATTTCCACAAACTTGGCCAGCTGCCGATTGGGCCGGAGGCTGCTCTTCTGGAAGGTCCCCCTGCACTGGGGGCAGGAGGCCTCCGTGTCTGATTCCCCCTCGCTCTGGCTCAGGCAGGCTCGGCAGAAATTGTGCCCACACTCGGTAATGCTCACAGGATCCCTGAAATAGTCCAGGCAGATGGAGCATGTGGATTCCTCGCAGAGAAGCTGGAGGGTGATTTCCGGAGCAGCAGCCATGACTTCTTCACACTCTGGTTTCACCTTCTTCAGCATGGTAAGTGGGGGTTTCCTTCCTGTAAAGATGAGCAGGCTTGCCCGTCCTTGCTCTGAGGCCCAAGTCAGGTATGTGACCCCGCCCAACTTTCGGTTTCAGCTCTGCACAATCTCTTCCCTGAGGCTTACAGCTCATCAGCTAATTGTTCTCTGTGCATCAGAATCAAGAAAAGGGTGGTTTTATTTATGTTTTTGAGACTTGCGGCATTTAGTGGCCCCTGAAGGAACTGCTAAGGTGAGGTCTGTACTGGATGCTTTTGTAACCTTTCTGCTGCCTGCACAATTTGGGGAGGGGGGGGGATCGGGTGGGCAGTTTGCTAGGGGCACATGAGAGCTAAGCAATAGGGTTGAATGGATTAAGACAACACAGCACAAAAGTGTGAACCTTTGTGTGAATCAGCATTTGTAAGGCGTATGTGGCGAGCACGACTAGCGAAATGGATTCCTGGTCAGTTCAGGGGTCGGAAGGTGCTTTTATATAACCTCTTGGTTAGATACAGAGTTTGGGACTGGAAGCTGTTGGGAAATTTCAGATAAATCCTGGTAGAAAAGTGTTGCTTCTGTGTGCCTTTGTGCTATAAAATCAGATCTATTTGTCTTTGTCACAAAGCAGAAGAATTCCCAGCCAGGTTGCTTTTTAGCTCGACTGAGAAGCTGCCGCAAGCGCCCACGGAATGCGGGTGTGAGAGCAGGCTCCCTGGATGCTCCTCCCTCAGACACACTGACCTGTTGAAACAGACAGGCCTGGCTGAGCTGCATGGTCAAGAATTTGCCAGACTGACCCATCAACACAGCAGTCAGTAATGTTCTCCACACTATTGTTACCAGTATTTCTGATCGGTTTGGAACATTATGTCTCTCCTGAAGACATCAGGATGCTGTTGTACCCACATTATCTGGGAGCGTAGCACTCTGTATTGGTGTATGTGACGAGCAGGTAATAAAACTGTTTGTATGTGGGCTGTGATTTTATAGTTGTGTTTACCTCTACCCAGTAATGCATCATCCTTAGTGACTGCAGGTACTGGGGCTCTGGACAATAAAGCAGCAGGTTCAAACATTTGATCTTTCCCACCAACCCGGGTGTTTTTGAAACCGGGATTCTGTCAAGGGAACCACATAGGCAGTTTGCTAGAGGCACATGCGAGAGAAGCAATAGGGGAGGTTGGATTAAGACGACACAACACGAAAAGAACCTGCAGGACTGCGCTGGCTTTCAGCAGCCATTTTGCCCTCACAGCGGAACACAGACCAGAGGCCTACACACTGGTGTCGAGAAAGCCTCGAGGGCAGCCGCAACACAGAAAACCAGGTTCGGTCAGGAAAGACCCCTTTTTCCTTGAACCCCAGCAGTTGTATGGAAAGAGCCCTGGCAGCTTCTTGGGGGAAGCCATCAGCTCCCACCTCTTAATATAACAGCAAATGCCGAACAGTAACCTGGCTTGGAATTTTTGGGTGCTTCCTTGAGAAAGAGGGGTGCAGGCAGTTTACAACACAAGGACACCTAAGCATCCCTTTTCTGCCACAATTTATCTGAATTTTGGCAACACTGGACTGTGGGGGTTGCCCGGAGG